TCAACGCCACAGACAACCATCGCCTACCTTCACACCACCGAAGGAAACATAAAAGAAGCTCAAACCCCAGGGTGAACGGAACTACAAATCCAGTTTTCCTGTCGAGCCACGTTCTGATACATAAGTAGCGGCATGAGAAGACCGCCCAGAACACGCCCTCGTCAACGGTGGCGCATCAATATCACGAGGCTCGCCAAACAACACCCCAGAGTCCCTCATCCGCCTTCTTCATCCCTACCCGTTTATTCCCAAAGGCAACTCCCCCCTACTGCGACTCTAAATCGACGCCCATGCATTGGTTCTTGTGTCCGTACATGAAGGCTTGGTCGCGGGCACCGCAGCGCAAGGTATCAGGAACTTGCGTGCTGCGCCACTGAAATGCGGCGTCGACCCAACAGTATCAACTCAAACGCCCGTCGTCAAAGAGTATGCTTTTCCACAGGCGAGTCAAAAAACCGATACTCTCGGGTCGGTGGCTTGGACGGCGGGCGCCGAATTTGCCACATGAACAACGGGGCAAGCCGCAGATACCCGCCGCGTGTTCTTCAGAGCCAGCAAACAAATCAACAGACACAGTTAACGAAACACATATTGGTGATGAATCAGTGTTTTCTCTTATTTTCGTGCTTTCTTTTCTGCAGTCTCGACTTCAAAGCGACCTCGCCACTACGAGCATGTTCCAGCACCGTGCTTCCGCGCTTCCGCGCTACAATCGCCATGTGGTGAGGCCTTGCCAACGACGCTTTTCTTCAAACTTGATTCTTTCCTTTTTTTTTTTTATCCCACTCCATTCCTCCATGTCCATTCATATTGCGACTCGAGATTTCGACCAACTTCCCACCTCAGCATGTACCGACGGCAGGTATACTCTTCCGTCCTTCTGCAACCAAACATTGGCCTTGCTCCGGCGTGTTTGATGCTTCCTCCGAAGGCTTCCCATCGTTGAATGAAAAAGGGGCATAATCCCCTGGAGTCCATATAAAGGACATGTAACTGTAAAAAAAGAAATTGCAAAAGCCCATCAAGACGTGGGCAAGAGGTATCCCGGTAAAACCCAAACTCCCGCGTGATTCGTGAAATAAGCCAACGTCCACCCCGGGTATCCATTTGTGACCAACCATGCAATGCTAACTCTAAAAAGTCTTTGCTCATGAACCAGTAGGTCACTTCATCATTTCGTGTCCAGATTCATTTCCTCCACATTACAATCCTAAAGCCACGGGACGGTGCTGTACCCGTGCATATCCATTACAAGGACGAGTCGACGGTACCACTGTCGTTATGATCGCCAAAATCAAGGAAAGACTCCCAGTTCTCGGCAGCGCTCGGCCCCGGTGTGTTACACTCGCTTTGCCCGTCGTCAAATCGTTGGGTGTACGGGTTCAAATGACCGTTGAAATACTCGTGTGATGACAAGGTCGGGTCATCCATCGTCGGATCGTGTTTCAGATCGGCCATGTCTGGATACCACGCCTGCTGTTGATAGGGGTTTCCCATAAACATCTGTGACATGGGATCGTTCATGTCAAAGTTCGGTACCATCATCTTCGCATCCATGGGCAACTCAGACGTGAACGAGGACTCTGGCGGGAACAAGCTGGCATCCAGGCTCGTCATTGGGGACGGGAAGGTGGACGCGGATCGTGTCGACGGGGTGGCAATAGCAGCCTCGGAGGATGGAGACAGTGCTGGTGGCGAAGTGGCAGGGTCACGGGCAACTGGTGTAGACATGTCCATCGGGGAGGCTGCAGACTGTGTTCTCTCTCGTTGCTGCGTTCCTTGCTGAAAGTTCACCGTGCTGAAGGTCGGCGACATTGGGCTCGTCCCAGCAGCCTCGGATTGGGCTTTCTGGTGACGGGCATTGCTGGGAGCGACGGGCTGATAGTACATGGAATTGGTCAAGTTGTGGGACAGTGCTTGAGCCTGCTTGGTGGCGTTTGGGAATTGCTCAGCGAACATCTTGTTGATCGGGTTGTCGGCCCACTCCTGGTTACGGAGACCAGCGACCATGCTAGCCATCGCCACACGGTTCGCGAGGAAGGCGTTCACTCGGTAGTCAAACTCGGGTGAACCGGTCTGAAGGTGGGCTGCCAGCATGCGGTACGATCTCGGCATATCGTCTTCCTCTTCCTCGTACATCTCCTCGGCCTGGACGATAGCCTCAGAAATCTTGAAGCCCTTGCCGGTACGCTTCTTGTGAATCTCGCTGGCCATCTTGGCAGACTGTACGCGAGCCTCAATGCTCCGGTCAGCTCGCCGGGAGGCAGCAATGTACGCCCTCTCCTGATTCTCCTCATGAGAACGCTCAGTCTGTGACGCTCATAGTCAGCCAAAGTCAGGGAAAGGGGAAACCTTGTGATGTGAAGCCGTCATGTGAGGGTGGCTGACGCATTCAAGCGGGCTGCATGGGATCTCGGGACAGGATTGACGAGTGGGCAGGATACGAGACGAAAAAATAGAAAAAGGGAATGGCAGCCAAGCACCAGAACTGGCTCCTGCAAGAGTCGTACCTTCTTCTGACCCCTGTCCATAGCCATGCTGGGCGAAATGTTGCTGGCGTCCAACGATCGCTTGGGCATGTTTGCTGACGTTGTCGACGTTGGGGATCGACGTATGATATGTAAATTGGGATGGGTGTATCCGGACTTCGGTGCGAAGTCACTCGGGCGAGAGCAAAGTTCGATAAGTAAACGTGAGGCGTTCGTAGGGGTGGAAGGCGGCCAATGTGCTTCAAAGGCTAGAACCTGTGAAGCCAAAACCGCCTGATTCTCAGGCAGTGTTGCGTCGATGGCTTATTCGTCGTCGATATATTGGTGCTCGCGTGAGTCGTGACAGCTTCACGGTGGTGAAAGAGCTTCGGGAATGGTGTACCAAAAAGGTTGGGAAAGGACAGGAAGGTAAAAAGTGCCACTGGGCCGCCTCCAAGTCTTATACAAACCCAGGGTTCGTGCTCCTCGGGGATCGGTCTAGAACGATGGGACAGCACAAAAAGTACCTTATGGCAAGTCCCCCCCCTCCCCTCCTCAAGCAAGAAAACAGAGAGAGCAAATTGGACCCATGTTCCATGCGGAAGCAGGTGGGAAAGCGCGAATGTGGTGCGGTGCGGTGCGGTGTTTGGCTGGTTGCTTTTGCTGGCTGCCGGGTTACTGGAGCGAGAAGCAGCGAGAGACAGGGCCCCAGGAAGTCCAGGATAGGCTCCAAAGGGCGCTGAGGGGGGGCGGTACATTGCCCGCGTACATTGAGGTGGTCCACGGGCGGGCAGTGTACTGCGTAGGTAGTACGGGAAAGCGATGGAGGGCTGGCTGCTGGACAACGGACTCTGGAGCGGCAGCAGTGCTGCGCTGCTGCAGTGGCGGACAGGCATGTGGTAGCGGAAAGGGCAAGTGTCACTCGCCTGGTTTCGATCGCTAGACGATCTGGGAGCGTTTGATCGGGTTACGCTCTGTTGATCGATCTCGATGACAGAGGGTCGCTGTGTTAAAGCCACGCCCTGCCGAGGTATCGGCCGGGTCACTGGTGAATCGAGACTGGGAGAGGGTTTGGTTTGGGTGGTTTGGGTGCGCGGGAGGGGGGAACACCGTGAACCTGCCAGCCCTCTCCCCCTCATCTTTCTCGTACCCTACCGTTTTCGGACTAGTGCCGGGTCGTTTTGGCGGCACGACGGGCAGGGGTTGCTGGAGGGCAGCTGCGTGGCTTCGCCTCAAGAGTGACTTCCATACTTGCTCAATGTTGGGCAACAGAAAGGGCAGGAAGGAAGGGGCACCGGAGCACGGCTGGTGGTGGGCAGAAAAGAAGGTGCACACGCACACAGAAGGCACCACCGCTGTCCACAGTCCACGGCTGGACGTGGACGTGGAAGGACGTGGGGTGGGGCACAGACCGAGTGGGGCGATCCAAGCTCGGGCTTGCGCTTGACCTCAGGCCCCACCCGCGCAACCGACAGGGCGGGAGGGAGCCCCGGGTGTGCTCCTGCAGGCCCAATCCTAGTAGGAGCTCCCTGCTCCCTCCAGTCCTCCATTCTTTCTTTCCAAAAATGCAATTCATACGTAAATATTGTGCAGCCAGAGGAAGGAGGGAGAGGAGAGGAACACTGCGAATTCGTACCTGCCCACGCAAAGCAGAGGCAAGCAACGCAGGAAGTAGGGGTAGTACTTTGAAGGTAGAGGTCATGTTCGTACAGACCGGATGTCATGAGAATGGAAGCAACACTTCATCCAGTATGCAAGTATCAGCAGCAGCAGCAGCAGCAGCAAGGCACACCTTCAAGCTATCTCCATCCTTTCTTTTCCTTCCCGCCCAACACCATCTCGTCGCCCACAAGGGGGCAGAGAAAGCAAGCAAAAAGCCAGACAGCAGAGAGCAGGCCTGACGATAACCCAATGGCGGAAGCTCTCTGCCACCTGTGTGCCATTCAACTCTCCCTCACCCAATTTCGTCCGCATTTGCTATTGCTCCTGCATCTGCATGAAAGCTGTTTCCCTGAGCTGCCTGCATGTCGCCGTGGCTGGTCCAGAGTTGTCCATTGCCTCAGCCCGAACCTCATGCTTGCTGGCAGCTGCAACTTTGCTGTCCCTCCCAAAAGTAAGCAGCCAAGATAGCTTCGAGCTCCAAAAGCTTGAGCTGCGAACAAATCTCCCAAGATGCCTCTGTGCCTTGATTCTTAATTAGTATGTAAGTACCTATGGCAAGACAGTCCCCCACCTGGCAAGCTTGCGGCTATTCTTCTTTAGACCTCCTCGACACTCCTCAAATCCCTTTGGACAAGGTTGCCCGGCTGCCACGATCGAACGACACTGCCTGGTAAGGTAGACAATGTCGACATGTCAGGTACATACAGCCGTGCCTGCCTACCTACCTACCTATCTGCTAACGTGCACCAGGCAATTGATTCTCGCTCAACTTTTCCCACTTCTCCGCAAACAAACATGCACGACCATGAGACAAAACAAGAAGGCGCCGTATTCGCACAGATTTGCCGTCCCTGCCTCCGCTCCGTTCCCATGCGCAAGAGAGACATTCATGGGTCGACACCGCCCTTCTTGCTCTCCCCTTGGGTCCCCTTGGGGACTGAGGTGAGCTGTTGCACCTCCCGCAAATGGCCAAGCACCCATGCAATATCAACCCCCCCGGTACTTACTTCTCATCCCACCTCGCTTCCCTGGAGTTTACTCCGGCTGACCATACAGAAGCACAGAAACTGACACAGGCACCACAGCGCCGCTTGGCCCTGACAAACTCCCTACGGCGTACGGATACAAAGCACAACCTTGGCTGCATGGTCAGTACATACTGCGTACGTGTGCCATCATTTCTCCAACACGCCGACATGCTTTCGCAGCTCCAGAACTCTGTCGCGCCAGATGCCCTCGACCACAAGCCACGGGCGCTCTGAAATCGGATTCCCCCGTTCCTACCAATCCCGTACATTGTATCTGATGGACCACCAAGGTCTTGCGCTTGCGTCGCGGATGTCGCCCAATACTCGACCACACCCTCACAGCCAACCTTTCTGTTGAATACTCTTGATACCGTTGCCCCCCTCTCGCCGAACGGATTGTCTGCTTGCTTTCCCGGCATCTAGCGTCCATTCGAGGACTTGGTGATTTCCAAACCCCGATGACCGAACCAGAGCACTCGGCGCAGCCCCTGGTGGCAGGACACCTCGAATCGTTTGTCCGACTGCTCTACTGCTCGGTGTTCTAATCCCTCCGCGTCCGCTCCTCGGCTACCAGGAGTGGACTCGGCCAACCGGGGCCCAGATATCGATCCTCAGGGTCCGACATCGACTGCCAGGGTCCCTAGCTTGCTGGCGATTGGGTTGCCGCATGCCATCTTCGGTGGAATATTCCAGCATCTGGCGAAGCAAAAAAAAAAAAAAAAAAAAAAAAAAAAACCCACCGTTCTGATAAGATTGGGTACATCGATACCCACGAATGGTCCTTTACCGTGGAATCAAGCCTACTGCCCTGCCACGCCTAGTTGCACCCAACCGCGCTTTACTGCACAGCGAGGAACCGTCCGTCTCTGCAAGTAGGAGGTGGGCTACGAGGTATCACCCGGCCGCCCGCTCGAACCATTCAAAGGCCCAATTTTCCGGGCTCGCTCAAGGATCATGACCTCGCTGCTGATCGGGAAAATGCCCACAAGCTATTGAAGCTAAGGCTCGGCCAACTGCGCCGCGACCTCCATAGAGGCTTCGCGTTTCGCGACTGCCACCTTTCAGGGAAAAAGCGTCGCCGGGGTACGCCAACCTGGACGGGATGGCTGTTCCCAGAAAAGCCGGGGAACGTGGCACCTGATATCGCGTTAAATCCGACACGACCGTGGCATGCTCGACCGGCTAGCTATCAGCGCAACCCAAAAGACAGACAACGAATGCGCAAACAGGACGGATGTTTTCGAAAGCCTGGGCTCAGACTAGCAAATCACTTCAAGTGTCGCCAGCAACACCTCTGACTGGCATAGCGCTCAACACATGGCAAAGGCTAAGGCACAAAAAGCCATTTCGAAGATGCATACTTTGGCAAGGCTGCTTGTGAATATGCATAGACCAGCTCACAAGCACATTCTACAGGAGAATCGCCAAACGGCTAATGGAATGGGAAGCAAGCAAGGTGCGTACTGAATGCAGTACATGCGTCCAACCAGACGTGACAGCTTCCAGGGCTCCCCAGTCTCACGATTACTTGAAATGGGCACGGACTGCGAATTACCAGAGGCAGTTGACACAGGCCATGCAACGAACAGCTGTTACCTCGCTGAAAGAGAGGGGGAACTAATGAGGGGGACGAAGCTTGCTTTCTCATCAGTATTATCCTACGCTGCATTGCCGTCGAAAGGTTGAGGCGTCTTTGGGCGCAACGCCTGCAACAGAGACGCTGGCCTTTTCAACCAACGTTTCGCCTCCTCCATCTCAACCATCCGGTTCTACGAATGGCAATATCGTCGACCGGGCAATGCCTTCAGTTGAGCCGTCTGTCTGAAATGGTCCTTGCAATGCTCCCGAGTCTCTGGGATTTGATGTCACATCAAGATCGATCAGCAGCTCTAAAGAGCGGTAATGGCCACAAGAACTGTCGTTTCGGGTACGCTCTGCTCGCACTACTGGCCCCTTGATTGTCGCCAAACGAACATTAATAATTGGCATCTCTCGACGTTAGGACGGAGCAAAGAGTCCGCCCCAACCTAGCTTGCCAACTTGCTGGAGCGTGAAACAGATACCTCGAAGTACAACAGTTCTTAAGCGTACCCCGTTGTAGGGACGAACTTCATCATGTCCAATCAAAGGGCTTTCTTGCGCAGCCCAAGCACTCCGTCCCCACACCTGCGCTCTTTAAACTCACCCCAGTGGGGATGGAGAGCCCCCAGTCGCATCAATATCTTGAACTCCAATGTTCAGCCACACCTGAAGATCGGATTAGATAAACAAGTACCAGAAATCCCCAACGTTGGCGCACAAGTTGATGAGAATCAAGGGGTGCACCACGGCAACTTGCAAGAGCTAGCGGCCAGCCACAAGCCATAAGCGGGACCGCGGGAAGCTCGTCTACCCGGTACGCAGCCGGCCACGAGGTATGACATCTTTTCGTCGTCAGAGGGAGTTTTCCAAATTGCGTACCATCACTTTGACGTGAATGCGGCGCCGAATGCTCCCAAGCCGCAGATTATCTACCGTTGAGCTGAGCTAATCAGAATTCCTTAGCTGGCTGGAACATTCTCCGAACGCGAGGGCCAACCAGAAAACAGGTCAGAATAGTCGTTCTTTTGGGTATTATTACTCTCAACTTCATGTGGCAAATCAAGAGACACTCCAAGTCCGTCCCGTCTCTGCAGGGTCAGAGACACTGGCCCAATGTAGAGCGATCTCTCCCCTCCATCAACCACAGGCAGGAAACACACAAGACGCAAGATAACCGAGCGGGCACACACGCGCCGGGTCCCGCAAATTCCCATTATTCGAACCATGGCATTTTGCGTTTCCCCAACTGCACGTCTGCGACATTCCCGCGTTGCTTGAAGTTCCGGCCTCTGTGTGCAACACCCGTGCTGGCTCGCAGTTGCTTCAGCTGTAAAGCACACCTACAGGATTATGACGTTGGGCCGACACATGTCGCCGATTTCATCAAACAATAGATTGGTTGCTCCTCAGTTCTTCTCCGCCATCTATTGGGTTTCTTGCGCCTCTTTTACACATGAGTCGACAGCACAGAACGAGACAGCTAATCGCACGGGACAGGTACGCTGCCCGTCCCGGCCTTTGACGCCCCAGGCCCCAGACCAATTGCGTACTCGCCCCTTACCCCGGATCCCGATCTCATGTTGATTCCAAATGCGACACGCCCCCACCTATCCTCCCCGTGAGTCAGCAGGAAACGACGAGCGGCGAGACCGGTGGCTGCCATTCGATAAGCCCCGCTTGTGGCATCTTCTGGACAGAGTCAAATCTCGCGACGGTCACGACAAAAGGGTCTTGTTCCAGTCACCGGCAGATGGACATAGATCTGGACCACACCTTGGGGTCTCTGGACGATTCTCGGCGGGCAGTTGACGCCACGTTCCTGAGCCTTGACGTAAAGTCTTGCGGGTCTAGTCAAGCTAGACGGTTGGGAATGGCAGCCTCCCGGCATGTACTGCGCGGGAATTCTTGTCCTCCATGAGCATACATGCGTCAAGTCCCCACTTGCAATCGAGTTTTGCAGACGACCAGAGGTTGCTCTCGCACTGCACTACCAGGAGAACGAGGACCCTTGAAAGCTGTAGCAGTTGCTAGGCTCTCTTATGCGACAATATGCACATGGGACCCTTATTTCACCCCGGGGTCCCTCATTACAGCAGACTCGCGAGGCATGGTCCAGACCAGTGACACCGCAAGACACCGTTTCTGAGACCGTGGAATGTGCTCCGAGAATGAGCGGCGCGGCCCCCCCCCCGTTGAACACCCTGTTCTAAGACCTGTGCATTCTCTGCTCAGGTCTCGCGGTCTCTAGTTGAACCGTGTGCAAGCGCGTTCGCGCATCTTCGCATCGATTTCTCAAAGTCCGTCTGAACTCGGCGACCACGGACAACAGGCAATGCTGATCGCGATTACTGGCCGCGAACTATTTGGAGAGCCACAGAGCTTCCTTTCTTGGCTACAGGAGAGAGACGACGCTAGTATGCTCAACTACTGCAAAAGAGCCTTAACCGACAGACTGGCACAGTCGCTAGTACGCGAAGGGACTAACCATGCTGACCCATCAGTCGATGCGCGCTGCGGAATCTCGATGATGGTTGAAATGGACGATGCCAGCTTTCACTCAATTCCTCTCCAGCCAAGTCCTTTGGGCCACTGAAACACTCGCATTCCTGGGCCATTCCAGGCCAGCAGGAGGGGACCTAACATCCCGCAAGCCTGCTCAATTCCTAGCCGCCGCCCGCTGAAATCAGCCTCCCTCCTTCCGTGAGTAGGGGATCTGGCGCCAGACATCATGCCATTTAACCCTTTCCGCTTGCTGGTCCTGAATCAGATTGAATGTTGTTACCGGCGGTGGTACTTGCCATGTGTGAAGCATTCTCGGAGCCAAGCAGACCGGGCATCGTTGGAGGTACTTCTCCGGCTGCTTCTCCGGCACCGCCAGGCCGTCACTGTTCACCATTTGATCGGACCGTTGCACAAATTGGCGCCGTTCCTGGGTTCGGTTCTCTCGCATCTGGATCGGCTGAGACCCCGGACACTGCATAGTTCTTCACGATACCATTTGCGCTTTCCAGTCACGCTCACTGCAATGTCAAAATGGGTGGAACGCATGCCATCTGTGCTCCCAATTTTAGGCTTACCGGCAACCACTGACTCACCTGCAGGATCCTCGGGAACCAAGAATTTCCATCGACTTCGCGAATAAAACAACCTCATATTGAAACATCTTCAGAAGGGGTTTCCCCGCCAGCTTTACCGACGATTCCGAAAGCATCGGAGCGGAGCCTTCCACACCGCCAGCCAGCGTGGTCATCCAACGCACGGTTAGATCGCGGCGGGTGTAGACATTCTGCCCCTGGCCGTGTAGACTTCCCGCGATTAAGGGCTTTGTCGAGAGCTTTGTGGTCCTGGTTTCCGATTCACAGGACATGTTTGTCGATCGGACGGGGCCGAAGTTCACGATCCCCTCAAGTTTTCAGGGCAGCCCGCATCGCTGACATGGCCCCCCGGCCCTGCGAGCTGGTTCCTTTGTTGGCCGGATCGGACCAGCCAACGTGCCATCGGAACATTTGCAGCGCCGATTCCAACGTGCTGGATCGCACCCGTCCACCGTCCTCTGGATCGGGTGCGACGCAGTTCCTTTTAATCAATTCCCCGTCAGCCCTGCCCTGCACCATCCGGATGAACCTCTAAGCGTCGATCGACGTTTGAGCTCC